CAATATTCAGTATTCTGATGCTGACAGTGTTTCACTGCTATTCATAAGGTTTTCAGTGATTAAATATTCAGAGGTAGTCCGTCTCTCCTTCTTCCTAGTCTGTCTTTGTCTGGAAGCTCATCTGAAACCCGTCCTCCCAGGGTGACGCTGCTCGTATTTAAAACACCCGTGGTATAGCTTCCAGTGTCATAGCAACACACAAATCACCACAGTACGACAAACTGACAAAAGAGTGGGGTACAGTAACACTAGATAACTAAGACAAGTGTTTCAAGAAAGGCAGGGAGAAGAGGTGAATTTTTTTAGCAGGGCATATATCCAGGAAGTAGAATTTTCTTATTTTAATTTTGTATGCATCTGTATTCTCATCTTTTCAATTTTTTTTTAATTAAGCAAAAATTTACTTTGTCATTTAAACATCATTCAAGGGGAAAACATTAAAATAATCAGAAATCCTTGAGATTATAATTAATGACTCAGGAAACCTATGAGTCCACTCTGTAAAGAATAAAAAAGTACACGTGGTCTCTGACCTCCAGTAGTTACAATATGATCGGACAGATAAGATGCAAACAAAACCAAAGTTACCTATAAATACAAGGCAATAGGTAAGCACAAGTTGAGAAAATCCAGCAGAAAATTCACCCTCCAAGACAGAGACAGATAATCTTTTAAAAGTGTAGTTTGGGATAGAAAATAATACAACTTCGATGACAGCTGCTGGGTCACAAATACAGAGACTCAACTCACGTGAAAGTGGGACCTAGACTTGATGGATAATAATCAGAACTCAACTAGAGGAAGATTTAAAAAAAAATAATTTTTGATAAAGGAAATGAGAGTAAATTGCTACGATTTGATGAACTGGACCTATACTCATGGAGGTAGTAGCTCAAAATACCAACAGAGAGGGAAGGAGTCTTCACATGAAGTATCAATGCTATCCCCTCTATACACAGGGTAGATAGGGACGGGCAACTTAGACATTGGCTACCTAAAATGACGGGGTGATAAAGGCTCGAAATGACTGGCTTACAAGGTTTCAAGAGGGAGTTTAAGAGTATGCTTGGGAAGATAGAGCCCCCAATGAACACTTCTCATCTTGTCTAAACAGGCCTGGTAAAAAGAGATGGGGATAAGATTCTTTTGCGTCAATAGTGAGTAATTGTTATCATGACTAATTGCAACTGTCACAATTGTAAAGGTAGAAGTTTTTTTTTTAAACAAAAACCGAGGAGTGGTTAGTCCAGAAACAGATGACCCTAGGACCATCAAGGGAGAAGAGCACAAGCAGAATGAGAGGCCTTATCCAGAGAAGCAGCGACACCAGAGATGAAGGCTGAGATGGGGACATGGAGAGGGGGAGCAGCTGAGGACTCTAGATTCATGGGAAGAGAGGGACTGAGAGCTGGTGGCCAGGAGGCAGACTTGCATATTATGCCCTTTGGTGGTTTAAATTATTATATATGTCTGAGTGTTTTTTGTTTTTTTTTTAAAAAGAGCTAAAATGAATAGAGAAATACTGCTAACTAATGGTACATGGAGAGGATTATAATCATTGTAATGAAACAAAGCATATGATTTGTTGAATGTAAAACTGATGATCTGCCCTGTAAACTTTCACTGAATTCACAACTAAAACTTAAAAAAAAAAAAAAAATAAAGAAAGTGAAAAGAGGACACTTAGTTAGTAGGCAACCCACCCACCCTTTATTACCTGGATGCAACAGTGAATTTGTACTATAAAGAGTGATTCAGGTCTGGAACTGAACATACCCTTGTCACTGAATTTTTAGCCAAACAGTAGATAGGGTTATAGTGAGGACAATAACACTAGTGGTGGTGGTGGTGTGCCGTGGAGTCGGTTCCAACTCATAATGACCCTGTAGACTATGCTAATCATGGAATGGCCAACCATTCAAGTTCTAAAGGACAGTACTTATTTAAGAACAAAATTCAGAAGGGTAGGAAAATAAGGTGGAATGGAAACAAAAACAGGGAGGGGTAAGATGGCGACTAGACAGACATACTACATATCCTTCTACAACAGAGATAAGAGAGGCCAAATGAAACAGACACATAGGACAATCCTAGAAATCTGAACCTCAGAGGACACATTAGAGATGTGGATTGAGTGCTAGCTGTGAGGAGAGACTGAACACTGTGGACAGTGAGCAAGGAAGACTGATTGGTGAACGGCCGGCCAATGTTGAACTTATGTGAGCAGTTTTGGTGACAGAAGATGGTCTGACAGAGCAGATTTATACAAGAGATAGGTAAGGTACAATTCCTGCTTCTTCTCCATAATCCCATGGTGACCAGCAGTGTGGCCACCTCCCACCTCACCCACGCCCAGCACAGACTCTGCTCTTCAGGAATTCAAAGATGTGTGGTTGTAAGCACACCAATGTGAGGTGGGGGCTGGCTGCACTGCATTGGTTCCTGGATTAAGGCGGGCTCAGCTCCAGACCTACAGAACCTGCAGAACGACCAGACCAGGATTAGTCTAGCAGAAACCCTCAGAGCCAGCCACCCTGCCCATGGATGCCCTGTGGTCCTAACAGACACTGAAACCAGCTCCAATAAGGGCCTCCACGAGCTACTTCCGGATTGAGTGTCCTGAACATAGATAACACAGTGTTCTACAGAAACTCTCCCTAAGACCAGGAACTCCACTGTCATATCCCTCCTGTACTCAAATTGTGAACTTCTTGGCAGGCTGACCTCTGCTCACTATCCCCTGAGTTTTCTCCTCTCCAGGTTCAACAGTTGCACGTGGGTTTTTTTTTTTCTCCTTCTTGTCTTTTCATTCCCCTGAATTTTATCCTTTCTAGTTCCATTGTTTAAGGAGCTCTGGTAGCATAGTAGTTATGAATTGGGCTGCTAACCTCAAGGCCAGCAGTTCGAAACTACCAGCTGTTTCGCAGGAGAAAGATGAGGCTTTCTGCTCCCGTAAAGATTTACAGCCTTGGAAACCCTGTACAGGGTCGCTATGAGTTGGAACTGACTCCACGACCATAAAAAACAACAACAACAATATATGTACTACATATTAGGCATTTACTATAATAATAATGTTTTATTATTATTATTATATCCACATTAATGATGAGAAAACTGAGGCTGTTTATTGGTGGAAGGACAAATGAGACTACGCAAGATTAAAGGACTTTCTTGACAAAGTGGATGCCACAATTAGGGATTTGCTGGCCTGCTCTACAGGTATGAGGAAAGCCACTGTCACTGAAGACATCGGTGGCAGCCCAGCTCTCCTGCCTCTTGTCCTGGCCAGTCATGCAATGTGGAGATGACCAAGGGACTGCAAGTTGGTACCTGAAGTTGCAAGGACTGTCCTTGAGATGTTTACATTTGAAACCACTTGTTTTTTCTGACTGTGGTATATCTCATTACATACAGCTGGACTCTTAATATCAGGCGGTCACCTGGGCCTCTCACTGAGTTGCAAGTACAGTACTTGGGAGGAAGGCTCCTTATTTTTCTTAGATGTGACATTCAGTAACCAGCCCACAACCAAGTGAATTTCAGGTATAACATGTGGACCACCTTAAACATACCCTCCCAATTTGATGGAAATTCACCCAGTGCTTTTCAAGTGATGTGAAAACAAAAAAACAAACCCACTGTTATTGAGTCCATTCTGACTCACAGCAAGCCTGTCTAGGGTTTCCGAGACTGTAAATCTTTTACGAGAGCAGACAGTCTCATCTTTTCTTCGGAGGACTGCCTGAATATCTGCTCTGTTCGCCTTCACTCAATTCACAATAAAATGTTTCAATTGTGGACCTTGCCGTTAGTAACCCAAAACCTAACCCACAGCACCACCGGTGTGAACTATTATATCTATGTTGTTGTTGTTAAGTGCCTTCAAGTCAATTCTGACCCATAGTGACCCTATATAGGGTTTCTGAGGAGTGGCTGGTGAGCTTGAACCACCGACCTTGTGCTTCAAATTACTTTGAAATCCAGCGCATTAACCACAGCACTCAGTCCTGTTGTGGTGCTGTAGGATAAGCACTGGCCCACAAGGTCAATTTGACTGAAAGGCTGGAGGTTCAATCTCCTCAGCTGCTCCTCGGAAACTTATACAGGGTCACTATGAGTCAGAACTGACTCAACAGCACTTAAAACAACAGCATCATAAATATGCTTTTTTTAAAAAAAGATTTTATTGTGAATTGAGTGATAGTTTACATGGAAAAACATCAGTTTTGCACTCAACCTATCATATCTTGTTTCACTGAAATGATTAATGATTATAATCCCCTCCATGTACAATCAGTTAACAGTATTTGCCTGTGTTTCTTCTTTCTTTCTTTTTTTGACATAAATAAAACATGGAGAAATAGATGTTCATTTAAACAACCAAAGGGCACATTTTGCAAGCCAGCCTCCTGCCCACCAGCACACGGCCTTTCTTTTGCCATGAGTCTACAGTCCTCAGATGCTCTGTCTTTCTATGCCATCACCTCTGCCTCCATCTCTGGTATTACTGCTTCTCTGGTTAGGATCCCACATTCTGCTCATGCTCTTCCCTCTTGATGGTCCTAGGGCCCCTCTGTTCCTGGAATGTAAGATTAACTACTCCCCTCTTTGTGTTACACAAATTCTACCTTTACAGTTTTGCCAATCGCAATTAGTCATGATAACAATTACTCACTATTGAATCATAAGAACCCTGTCCCCATCTCCTTTCACCAGACGCACGTCTAGGCAAGATAAAAACTACATAAATATGCTTTTTTCCTGAGCACTCACAATGAGAAGATGCTGACGTAAGCCATAAACAAAATCTTTAAAGATCAAGATCTGATTAAATACTAGGCCAGAGAACTGATCCCTTTCTTGAAGCCCAAAGGAAAATAACTTCATATGTGGGAGGTACATGCTGAGCCCCCACCCCCTTAACCCCCCTGCCCCATCCCCAATTCCCATGCTTAACTTGTCGTTCCTCACCAAGTGAGGCAGGAGGGAATACTCACCCTCACACTTCTTCCCATCCTCAGCCAGAGTGTAGCCGCTGTAGCACTGGCAAACGAAGGAGCCTGGCACATTCACACAGAGCTGTTCACAGGCATGGTCCTCCACGGCACACAGATCCTGGACTGAGGCAAGGGTTGCACCATAAGAATGTAACTCTGAAGAAGGTAGCACACCCTCCAGTGCAACAAAGGGCCCATACCTCTTTTAAAAATAACTCTTCAATTCACAATAGCCAAAATGTGAGGGGAAATGACACAGACGCCTATCAACAGATGAACGAATAAACAAAGTGTGGTCTATTCGTAACCAGTTGAGTTGACTCTGACTGTGGCAACCCATGGATTATGCTCCATGGCTCGTTTTTAGAAAGTAGATCAATAAACTTTTCTTCTGAGTGGACTCACACCTCCAACTTTGAGGTTAGCAACCTCGCATGGGAACTGTTTGTGCCACGCAGAGCCTCTATTATCTGTACAATGGGGTATTATTCAACTGTATGATGCTGTGGGCTAATGCGTTGGCCTGCAAGGTCGGTTTGAACCACAAGGTCGGTAGTACAAGCTCACCAGCCGCTCCATAGGGTCGCTGTGTGTTGGATTTGACATCACATAACAACAAATAGATTTGACATCACATAACAATAAAAACAAAAGAACCCACCCACGATTCAACATGAAATCATAAGCCAGGAGTTTGAGTGATGTAATAGTTAATCACTCGGCTGCTAACTAAAAGGTCTGTAGTTCGAACCCCCAGCAGCTTTGTTGGAGAAAGACCCGGCATTCAGTTCCCATAATGATTACAGCAAAAGGCACTTAACAACAACAGCAACATCAGAGAGATATGAAATTCTGATACACGCTACAACCTGGGTAAACCTTGAAAACATTATGTGAAATACAATAATCCAGACATGAAAGGACAAATATTATATTATCCCATTAGATGATATACATAGAATAGGCAAATGCAGAGACAGAAAGTGGATTTGTGCTTACCAGGAGCTAGGGAATGGGAGAAATGGACAATTCTTTCTTAAAAGGTATTGATTTTCTACTTGGGGTGATAAAAAAAGGTTTGGAACTGCATAGTGGTAGCACAAAACCATTAGTATAATTAATGCCATTAAAAAGTACACTAAAAATGGTTAAAATAGCAAGCTATACGCTATTCATATTTTGCAACAATTAAAAAATGAATTATTAAAACATTGGCAGTATTAATATATAATCACAGTAGAAAATTTCAAGATAAAACAGACTGTTCTAAATGCGGGAAAATTAATAAATTACAGGGTATCCCCAAATAAAAATAATACACCTGTACAAAAAAATAAAAATAGTAGAAAATCATAAAGATTCAGTAAGCATCAACACAACAGAAATTAAAATGAAAAGAAAACCCACAAACAAAATTAACTTTTGTTAACTTTGCTCTTATGTGTTTACCCTCTAGCCCAAGAATAATTTTCCCTCCCCACTGCCCTGTAACCAATTAACTTTTGTTAATTTTGTGGAAAAAGAAAATTATGTGGAAAAAGAAGCCAGTAGCACCACACACACACACACATGCACACACACACAAAAAGACCCACAGCAAAATGACAGCAATCAGTTCATATCTATCGATTGTTGTTGTTGTTGTTATGTGCCGTGGAGTTGGTTCCGACTCATAGCGACCCTGTACAGGGTTTCTGAGGCCGTAAATCTTTACGGGAGCAGAAAGCCTCATCTTTCTGCCGTGGAACAGCTGGTAGTTTTGAACTGCTGACCTTGTGGTTTGCAGCCCGATTCATAACGATAGTTACACTGAATATATAAATGGATTAAATGCACCATTCAAGAGACAGAGAGCAGAATGGATAAGAAAATGGGATCCTTTAATATGCTGTCTACAAGAAACACATCAAAAAGATGGAGAGCAGTCTGAACAGCATCAGTGAAAGAATGGTTAAACATACTTTGGTACATATACACAGTGGAATATTACACAGTGTTGAAGAATACTGATGAATCCAGAAGACACCTCACAACATGGATGAACCTGGAGGATAGATATTATGCTGAGTGAAATTAGTCAGTCACAAAAGGAAAAATGTTGTATGAGAACAATGTTGCTTAAAGTTAAGAAAAGGTTTTCTTAATTAAACAAACAATCTATGATGGTTACAGGGCAGTGGGGAGGGAAAATTATTCTTGGGCTAGAGGGTAGACACATATCAGCCCGGTGACAGGGAAGGCAGTATACAACAAGAGGGAGGTTAGCAGGGGAAAGATGAAGGTAGACAGACACAGGGAGGAATTCAAGTGTTAAGTGACTAGAGGTCAATGCTGTGAATTGTTGATACATGGAGGGGACTACAACCATGTAATGAAGCAAAGTATATGATTAGTTGAATGTAAAACCGATGGTCTGCTCTGTGAACCGTCACTCAGTTCACAATAAAAAGCTAAAAACCCAAACATTGGCCATATTAATATATGATCATAGTAGAAAATTTAGGAAGCAAAGTATATGAAGAAAAAAACCAACAAAAACACCCACCAGTAATCCCAACCTTCTGTGACCCTACCAACCAGAGCGAACCACCGTCACTGTCTTGTTGAGTTTTCCTTTCAGGTGAGTTTCTATGTTTACATAAAAACATGTTTTTTTCAAAGTTAGTACCATTCATGTCTATTAAATGCATGGATTCCTAGTATGACGCTGTCGGATCAGCACTGGACTGCGAACCACAGTTCAAACCCACCAGCTGCTCCTTGGAAACGATATGAGTTGGAACTGACTTGATGGAACTTAACAACAACAACACTAAATGAATTGGAGTCCTGGTGTGGTGCTATAGGGTAAGCAATGGACTACAAACCGCAAGGTCAGTGGCTCAAACCCACCAGCCACTCTTCAGAAACCCTACAAAGTGTGGATATCAGTTGGAACTCACTTGACAGCACTTAAGAGCAAAAGAACAGATTAAAAGCATTAAATAATTTTAAGTTAACACTGGTTTGTATTTTCTCTTGTCAAAGAAAGTACTCTGGAAGTATCTCGATGGTTGTTGAAAGCTATAATTTATCCTAAGGCCTTTGCATTTGTTTGCATCAAGTACTATTCCTGTCCTTTGGGAACTTAAAGTGCCTCATAACGACACTCTCACTGGTTTACATGAAGATAGTTCAGCACTGTCTTTGACATTTTGCAGATGGGAGCACAGTTAAAAAAGCTGATGTTCCACCGAAGACAAGGCAGGGCTAAAATGTGATCCTAATTCCCTTTGGGCATTTTTCTCATTCCATCTATCTGCAGGGGAGCTTTGAAAGCCCTCTTTGGTCTCTATTTATTCATCCTAATAATAAATGAGGAAATGGAGAGGCCAAAGGAGGCTGAGTAGAGACAATGAGGAGAGACTGCCTGTCCACAAAGTGCTGAGCCCTGGCTATTTTCTCCAATGCAGTGTGCCAGTGCACTTACAGGAATGTGTCTTCTGCGATGCAACTAAGAATAAAGCAGAGGATGGAAAATTAGAAAGGCGTTTTCAATCCATTAATAATTCTGTCCTTGCGTAAGGATGGAATGACTCTTTATTACCAAGGAGACTGGTTTGGAGCCTATGAACTAGTACTAGTTCTCCCAGACAGTTTTACCTTTAAAATGCTAGAATATCAGAAAGGTTTAAAGGGGTTGGATATACTAAAGAGAATTTTTTCTGGTTAAAAATATCCCTGTAGATTGTAATCATTGCAGTGAAATGCAATACGATTGCAACCATTGCAGTGAAATGCAATATGATAGGATGAGGGTAAAGCTGATGTTCTCCCATGTAAACTATCACTCAATTCACAATAAAAACTTGAAGAAAAAAAATCCCTATAACAGTTAGGGTAAAAATCCAGTTAACAAGAATGTTTGATTTATCCCTGAATTCAGTTACTAAACTTTAATACAATCTCCTAGATCTCTGAGTGTCGTCGTTCATTATGTTTCTAAATAAATGTAAAATATCAAATTGATAAAAAGGTATAAGTTGATCTTACTCATTACTTCATATATATATACATACATCACAACCTGAAAAAATGCTTAGGTCAAAGATTCTATAAGTAAATATTCTAATTTAAAAA